GAAACAATCTTTGATGGTTATAAGGGAGGAGAAGGGTGGTGAGGGAAAAACACTAACTAGATAGTAGATAGGTGGTAACCTTGGTGAAGGGTAAGACAGTACACAATATTGCGCAAGTCAGCACAACTTGACCAAGGCAAAGTCGTAGAAGCTTCCTAGACATATCCAGACTCCCTGAAGGATGGAGTTCCTGGGCTGAGGGCTGGGGACCATGGACTCAGGGGACATCTAGCTCAATAGTTTATAAAGAAAATGTTCTACGTTTGATTGTGATGAGTAGCGTCTGGGGTCTTAAAAGCCTGAGAGTGGCCGTCTAAGATACATCGACTTGTCCCATCCTGGCTAGAGCAAAGGAGAATGAAGAAAAGCAAAGACACAAGGGAAAGATTAGTCCAAAGGACTAATAGATCACATCTACCACAACCTCTGCCAGACTGAGCCTAGAACAACCAGATGGTGCACGGCTACCACCACCTACTGCTCTGACAGGGATCACAATAGAGCAAGAGAAAAATGTTGAACAAAATTCAAATTCTCACACACACACACACACACACACACACACACACACACACACACACACACAGAGAAAGAGAGAGATCAGACTTGCTGATCTGACAGAGGTTGGAAAAACCCCAAGAGTATGGCCCCCAGATACCCTTTTAACTCAGTACTGAAGTTACTCCTGAGGTTCACCCTTCAGGCAAAGATTAGACAGGACAGGTGGCACAGTGGTTAAGAGCTCAGCAGTTGGAATCCACCAGCCACTCCTTGAAAACCCTATGGGGCAGTTCTACTCTGTCCTTAGGGTCTCTATGAATCGGAATCAACTCGACGTTAACGAGTTTGGTTTTTTGGTTTCCGGGGCAAATAATAACACACGTGAGGAACATGCTTCCTAGTTCAATCTTGTATAAGAGACTAACTGGACACACCAGCCTGAAAGAAAAGACGAGAGGGCAAGAAGGGACAGGAAAACTGGGCGAATGGAAACAGGGAACCCTGGGGCAGAGAAGGGGACTGTTGACACATTTCGATGTAGGCAACCAATGTCACAAAACAATTTGTGTATTAATTGTTTAATGAGAAAGTAATGCTCTGTAAACTTTCACCTAAAACGCAATTGTATATATATATATTGCCTGCATAAAATAAATATCGAACGAGGGAATACGAAAGTCAGAAATACTGGGAAAACACTAGGTTAGTTTCTCTGGAGGGCATTTATTATGTATTGAATTGTGTCCCCCGAAAATGTGTATCAATTTGGCTAGGCCATGATTCCCAGTATTGTGTGATTGTGGACCATTTTGTTATTTGATGTGATTTTCCTGTGTGTTGTAAACCCTACCTCTATGATGTTAATGAGGCAGGATTAGAGGCAGTTATGTTAATGAGGAAGGACTCAGTCTACAAGTTTAGGTTGCGTTTTAAGCCAATCTCTTTTGAGATATAAGAGAAGCTAGCAGAAAGACTGGGGCCTCATACCACCAAGAAAGCAGTGCCAGGAGCATGTTCTGCATGTCATTTTCGTGTTTCTACATGTCCTACATTTTCCCCTTTGGACCCAAGTTTCCTGCGCTGAGAAGCTCCTAAACCAGGGGAAGATGGCTGACAAGGACCTTCCCCCAGGACCAACAGAGAGAGAAAGCCTTCCCCTAGAGGTGGCACTCTGAATTCGGACTTCTAGCCTCCTAGACTGTGAGAGAATAAACTTCTGCTTGTTAAAGCCATCCACTTGTGATATTTCTATTATAGGAACACTAGGTATCTAAGACAGGATTTCACAAAGTTAAACTATTATATGCTCCTTGTATTGTTTCAGAGAGGTTTTAGGATTTTGTTTAAATTTAGACTTTTTAAATGTGCACGGTAACATTTCAAGAATAACCATTAAAAAAAGAACAATAGCATGTAAAAATTACAAACCAAAAGGGAGAAAAAAATGGATAAAGAAAAACAAAACAACCACACGAATCAATCCAGAAAAAGACAAGAAAGAAAAGAAGCACCAAGAAGGTAGCACAACAAGAAGTACAAAAGTACGATGGTATAAAAAAAAGTCTAAATATATTAATAGTCAAAATAAATATGAATGGACTAAAGCGAACTTTGCTAGAACCACACGAAGATACTGATATTTTAATTTATTTGTTATTCTATTCATCTGCTTCTTCCTTTTAGAGGCTTGAAGTAATTTAATGTGCAGATTTAACATCTTGAATTTTTCTTTTCATCTATTAAAAATCAAATCCAGAATGCAGACAAAACATGTTTTAAAAGAAATATATATTTTTTTAAACTTTATTTTGTTGCTGCTGTTGAGAATATGCACAGCAGAACATACACCAATTCAACAATTTCTACATGTAGAATTCATTGACATTGATTACATTCTTCAAGTTGTGGAACCATTCTCACCCTCCTTTTCTGAGTTGTCCCTCTCTCGTTCACATAAATTCATTGCCCCCTAAGCTTCCCATCTAATCTTTCAAGTTGCTGTTGTCACTTTGATACCAGATAGATGGTTTTTAAAAGAGAATAATGCTCAAGGCAGACATTCTTTACTAGTTAAGCTAAACTACTGTTTGCTTTTAAGAAAACTTTAGGGGATATTTCTGGTTTAAGGTTTAAAAATTATCTCAGGGCAATAGTTCCAAGGGTTCATCCAACCTTCATGGCTGCATGAAGTCTGGAGTCCGTGAGAATTTTGAAATTCTGTTCTGCATTTTCCCATTTTTTTATCAGGATTCTTCTATAGAATCTTTGATCAAAATGTTCACTAATGGTAGCTGGCCATCATCCAGTTCTTCTGGTCTCATGGCAAAGGAGGCAGTGGTTCATGGAGGCAATTAGCCACGCATTTCGCATCCTCATTTTATTTCTGAATCTCTTTTTCTCTGTTGCTCCAGGCGAATAGAGACCAATTGTTATGCCTTGAACGGCAGCTTGCAAGCTTTTAAGACCCCAGGCACTACCCAACTAACTAGGAAGTAAAACAGAGGCACTAAAGATGTTATTAGGCCAATTAATTGGGACGTCCAATGAAATTATTACCATAAACCTCCAAACCAAGAAACTAAATCCCATGAGGTTTTTGGTTGTACATAAGCAGCCTCAGCAGCTACTTCTTTCTTTTTTGTCATTGTTGTAAATATATCTGTCACACAACTTTTGCCAATTCAACATTTTATAGGTGTACAACTTATTGACAGCAATTACAATAATCAGCTGTGCAACCTTAAACTTAATGAGTGCAATATTTCCATCACTGTTAATCGCCCCCTCACCCCTAGTAACCCCTGATGAACTTTGTTCGCTATACATTTGCCTTTTCTTGTCTTTTTATGTAGGTGAGGTCATATAATAGTTGTCCTTTTGTGATTTACTTATTTCACTCAGCATAATGTCTTCCAGCTCTATCCATATTGTAGCATGTATCAAGACTTTATTTCTCTCACTGGCTGATAAAAGAAATGCATGTGTTTAATATTACTGTGTATTTTATAATATGTTGGATAATAAATGAAAGCAACTGTTGTCACATAAAAGAAAACATCTAGCTGATTAAATCGATTACTCATGAAATTTACTAAATACTCAAGGGAAAGAAACTAATATATGTTAATACAGGATTGGACAAATCAATTTTGTTACATTCAGAAAATAGATTATAAAAAGCCATAAAAACGATGAAAGAGATTTATACTGTTTGATGAAAGTACTAAGTTTACTTTGCATGCAAAAGGTGGACAATGAATAAGGAAGACCAAAGAAGAATTGATACATTTGAATTACGGTGTTGGGGAAGAATATCGAATATACCGTCGACTGCCGGAAGAACGAACAAGCCTGACTTGGAAGAAGTACAGCTAGAGTGCTCCCTGGAAGCGAGGATGGCGAGACTTCCTCTCACATACTTTGGACGTGTTATCAGGAGGTATCAGTACCTGGAGAAGGATATCAGGCTTGGGAAGGTTGAGTCTGTGAAAGAGAGGGAGACCTTGAAGGAGATGGATTGACACAGTGGCTGTAACAATGGGCTCAAACATAGCAACCATTGTGAGGATGGTGCAGGACCCGGCAGTGTTTCCTACTGCTGTTCATAGGGTTGCTGTAAGTTGGAAGTGACTCAGTGGCACCTAACAACAATAACAACAAATCAGTTTACAAACACTTGTATGAGGATCATATTTGCGAAAACATGGAGGAATATTTTGCGTTGAACTGTTAACTTTTTTATTTTAAGGAAAGGATTTGTTGTGGAGTATTCTCGCATTCTACACAATACCCTAAACCCGCAACAAACCCTTTGCCGTCGAGTCGATTCCGACTCATAACGACCCTATGATACACTACATGTATAGATTTATTACTATGATAATGCATTATTCTTATGATTCTGGAAGGTATTTTCTGTTTTTCTAATAACAAAAACAACTATCTCATTAGGTGGTTACTAAGCAACGCTCACTGGACCAAACCACCATGGAGGGTGAGGGGAGATTTGTTTTCTTAGACTGTAACTGGAATCTCGCCCTCAAGGAAAGGTGCTCGCACTTCGTGCTGCGGCCATCTTTGAGTAGGGCACATCTGTTTACAGCTTTAGAATGGAAATTGGGCTAAATGGTGGTTGCTAGGCAACGCCTGTTCTGTCGCCATCTTTGAGAGGGGTACAGCATTTGCCGCGGTAAAATGAAAAATGTACACTGAATGCGGTTGCTAGGCAACGTCTTTGCCACCGTCGCCATCTTTGAGCGGGGCACAGTTGTTTACTAATTTAGAATATAAATCATTATAGCCTACATGACGGTTGCTAATCAACACCTTGGGACCGTCATCACCTTCGAGCTGGGCTCTTCGTTTTCTTCGCTAAATAAATAGAGTCAGACCACTTCAGGGAGAGATGACGAATCTTTAAAAGCGCAATTAGCCGCCTTCTTTGTTAGGGGCATCATGACTTCCGGCTGGGGCGGAAAAGAACCTAACGGGGTTTGCTGGAATAGGGATTGAGGGTCTGTGTGAGTTGGTTGGAGAAGGCAGGAATTTAGTCTTCTTCCCATTAGCTCTCCATCTAGCCTTCTGGCGGCTTAGGACAGCCGACCAACTTTTAATTTGACTACCGGAAGGCTCCACGGCGGGCACTGACCGTTCCCTCGTGGAGGACTTGGGGGTTCCAAATGGGGGAGGAGGGGACGGGGGGCACCGTGCACCTGCTGTGCCTCGCGGCCTCCAGCGGGGTCCCCCTGTTCTGCAGGAGCAGCCGAGGCGGCGTCCCCACCCGCCAGCAGGTGGGGCCATGAACGCCTGATTGTCCGAAATAGGAGGGGGTTAGGCGCTTGGATTCTGGTCCCAAAGGGAATAGGGAATGGGGAAGTCTTAGTGTTAAGAGGGCCGAGGGTGCAATGAACCAATAATTCCGGTTCCCTGAAGAGGAAGGGGCAGAGGATTTAGAAACAGGAGGGGCCGGGGGCCTAGACTCCGGTGGAGTTCTGAGGATGAGAAAATTGAAAGCTCCAGTCTAATGCCCCCAACCCCTCCCCAGCTCCCGTTCTCCGTCATCGGCTCCCTCAATGGAGTCCACATGTTCGGACAGAATCTGGAGGTGCAGCTGAGCTCTGCAAGGACCGAGGACACGACCGTGGTGTGGAAAAGCTTCCATGACAGGTCCCCAACAGGAACTTGGAGGAGGGGACTGGGCTTGGGGTGACAGACCCTCTTGAAGATGATGCGTGAGGGCCTTCAAGCTCCCTAAGTCCAGCTGTTTATTTAGCAGTGTTGTCTCTAACAAGCCAATGACCCTTTCTCAACCCTGATTTTCTCCTCTGTGAGAGGCAGGTTGGGCTGGAGGGAGGATGAAGCTGGCATTCCTGAATCGACTCCACTACTTTCACCACCCAGCGTCCCAGGTCAGGACTGATTATTCATCCCACCTTCCTTTTTCACAGCATCACCCTCATTGTTCTGTCATCTGAGGAGGGCAGCTCAGAACTGAGGCTGGAGAGACTACTCCAGATGGTGTTTGGGGCCATGGTGAGAGTCTCCAGCCCCTTTTCTCCCAAACCCAGGAATCCGAGCTCACAGCATCTTGCTGCCCCAGGACCCAGGAATCTGGGCCCCCCGTCCCCTGCTCCCTCAGACCCAGGAGTCTGGGTCCCTGGCCCCCTCCTCCCTCGGACCTAGGAGTCCCAGCCCCCTTCTCCCTCAGGCCCAGGAGTCCAGGCCCTCAGCTCCTTCTCCCTCAAGTCCAGTACTCCGGACCCCCAGTCCCTTCTTTCTCAGAAACAGTTGTCCAGAGCCCCTACTCTCCTATATGGTTCTTCTAGGTTCTTCTTGTGGGACTTGAAGAACTGACCAATATCCGAAACATAGAGAGACTGAAGAAGGAGTTGAGGGTAAGGCTGCAGGATGGGAGTAGGAGGGGAAGTTAGGACACCTGGGCACTGCCATCCAGGAACTATAGTTCCCAGCAGCCCCTGGGGCAGCCTGACCCCATGGGGTCTTGGGGCTCCCTGGTGGTCTAGTCCAGTAGGTCTAGTTTTCTGAGGGGGAGGCAACAGATCTGTGGCCCACCAGGGTCCTAGGTGCCTTCCTTCTCTCTCTGCTAGGCCAGTTACCACCTCATTGACAGCTTCCTGGGGGATTCTGAGCTCATTGGGGACCTGACTCAGTGTGTGGACTGCGTGGTCCCTCTGGAGGGGTCCCTCCTGCAGGTATTGAGGATGCCCTGGGAACTCTTAAATCCATCCCTACAGTCCTTCTCAGTCTTCATCTTCCCTCTGGGCCACTGCCCAGCTTCCTCCCATCTTCTCAGTTTCTGGTCTCTTCCCTCCAGTTCGACCCCCATGTGTCCCCAGAGGGGTCTTTCTACACCCAGAGCTAACCCTTCCCCTCCCCTGCTCACAGCCCCCCAGTAGCTTCAACACCCCAGAACAAGGTCTCAGCCCCTCAGCCTGGAGTTTGAGGACGTGTGGAATCATGTCTGCCAACTCGTCACCCTAAACCAAAACCCGATGCCGTGGAGTCAATTTCGCCTCACAGCGACCCTATAGGACAGGGTATAACCAACTCCACAGGGTTTCCAAGGCTGTAATCTTTAGAGAAGGAGACTGCCAAATTCTCTTCTGCTGAGCAGCTGGTGGGTTTGAACCACAGACTTTTCCGTTAGCAGCCGAGAGCTTAACCACAGCACCATCAGGGCTCCTTCCGCTCACCCTAACCTCCGGTAAACCCACAGCACACCCACGCCCAGTTGCCTCAGTTTCCCCAAATCCCAACCACCTTCCAGCTTCCCAACCTTTGCACACTCTGCTCCTTCTGCCTGCCTAGTCTCCATCTACCCTTCCTTAAATCCTGCTCCTGTTGATTCACCCGGCGTGGCCACCTCCCGCAGTGTAACTTGCTGCACCTGACGACCTCTCTGAGCTTCCGTAGGTCGTTAAAGGTTCTGACTTGGCGCATAGCAGTATTCATAAAGCTGCTGCTGCTATAATTGTTAGCCTCAGTATGTGCAGGTCACGCCGGGTCGCAGGCTTCTGTTTGATACAATGGCACAGTGTGAGTGGGGATTGTACCTGCATGTGACATGTGAAGGAACTCAGGCCCAGTAAGGGTGACACCCATGGCCTAGGCCACTTAGCCTCAGCAGGTCTCTTCCCACGGCTTGGCCACATGGCTGACTCCCAGCCTGACTCCCAGCCTGCCTGCCTCTCTTCCACAGGAAGGCCTCGCCGGTTTCGCCGAGGCCACTAGCACGGCCTTCGTCAGCCTGGTGGTGTCAGGCCGGGTGGTGGCGGCCACAGAGGGCTGGTGGAGGCTGGGGATGCCCGAGGCTGTGCTGCTCCCCTGGCTGCTGGGATCTCTGCTGCCGCAGACCGCTCGCGACTACCCGGTGTACCTGCCCCACGGAAGCCCCACGGTGAGCGCCCAGGCAGGGGCGGGGCAGGGTGGTTAGGCGAGTCCTGGGACAAGTCAAAGAGGGGTGGAATGTAGACGACGTGTCGCTAGGACCTGGGGCTTGGATGAACCGGCGTCTGGTGGCGCGGGGCCGGGCGCAAGGCGGAGCTCTGGCCAGCTCCACCCGGTCCCATGCTTCAGGTCCCGCACAGACTCTTGACCCTGACGCTGCTGCCGGGCCTGGAGCTGTGTCTGCTCTGCGGGCCGCGACCACTCCTCAGCCAGCTGGATCCACAGGTGAAATCCTCCCCAACTCCCTCCCGCTGTTCTCCTTATCACCCGCTACTGGAGACGCGGACCTTTCTCTTACCACGTGGCATATGGCCCCGCCCCCTCTGCCCCCTCCTACCTTTTCTTTGCCACACCTACTTCCCGTAGCCCCCACCCCTTCTCGGATCTTCTCCAATCACCTTTCTCCCAACGTGGTGTTTCTCCTACCGTGCCCCCTTTTTACTCTGACTCCACCCCTTCAGGCTCCGCCCTTTCCCAGCCTTGTGCATGGTGGGCCCTCCACTTGTATTTGACCACGCCTCTTCGCTTGGCCCTTAGCTTCCCACCTCACCCACAGTCCCTCTCGCTGACCACACCCCCGACCACGCCTCCCCGCAGCTCCTGGAGCGTTGGTGGCAGCCGCTGCTGGAGCCGCTGAGGACCTGCGTGCCGCTGGGACCCCGCGCGCTGCCCACTGGTTTCCCCCTGCACGCGGACATACTCGGGTAGGGCTCTGACGGGGTGGGGGGTTGGGCTGGGGGTCCTCATTACTCATCTGTGGCCATGACACCCCTTTTCTCACAGCCTGCTACTCCTCCACCTGGAACTGAGACGTTGCCTGTTCACAGTAGAGCTCTCGGAGGACAAAGGTGACTGAGGACAAGGTTGGGAGGGGTGTATCCTGGGCAGGGTCTCCTGGTCACCTTATCTCTCTTCCCCCTCCAGAGCCTTCTCTGGATCAACGGCGGCGCCTCCTGCGCTCCTTCTACACCCTGGTCACCTCCATGCACTTCCCACCAGGTCAGTGGTGGGCACAGTGTCCAGTCTCACAGGCAGGAACCCTAAGCCCCAGGTCGCATAGGGTGGGAGGGAGGGCTGGGGTCGGAGAATCTGGTCCGGGAAGCCAGTGCGTACTGGGAGTAGTATTCCCGGAAGTCCTTAGTGTTGACAGACTAGGAGGGAGTTCTGAGCCTGCAGATTTCAGAACCTGCTGGATAACCCTAACAGTTACCACTGAGACTTCATCTGCCAGTCACTGACCAAAGTGCTCTTGCAGGTAATGATTCACTTCCTCCACTGAAGTGCAGATTATCCTAATGTGTCATGACCCCATATTCCAAATGAGGAAACTGAGGCTCAGCTAGTAAGGGGCAGAGTCACGATTTAAATATAGGTGGTCTGGCTCCCAAGTCCACATTAAACCACTCTGCTCTACTGCTCAAAGCACAAGCTTTGCCTATGGTTTTCGGAGGGAGAGTGACACGGAGTCCAAGTTAGGAAAAGCTGTAGAATCCCTGAGGCCCCCAGTTCCTCCTGTTACTCTCATGGTAACCGGGCCCAGGGAGACAAAGGAAAGACCTAGAATGATGTCTGGCACGTGGTAAGTGTCACACAGATGTTTGCTGTTTTCACTGCTAAGCAGATTGCCTGAGGCTGCACACAGGACCCCCAGTAAACAGTGGGACTGAGACTGGGTGATTTGAACTGCTCCAGACCTCACAGGGTCAGAAACTTAGGCCCAGGGCGGGCTGTGGCTTCAACTTGGCATCCTGGTTGTCCAGGCCCTGCTGGTCACCTCCGCCCTCCCTGTCCTTCCCCAGAGCCAGGGCCACCGGAGAAGGCAGAAGATGTGGCCCAGCTGCCGCGAGCCTGCTACGTGGTGTCGGGGCCCGAGGAGCCGGACACAGGGTGGCGGCTGGTGGCCCTGCAGTCGGGGCCACGGCGGCTGCTGTTATTGCTGTCCCCTCAGAGTCCCACCCACGGGCTGCGGAGCCTGGCCACCCACACTCTGCACACCCTCTCCCGGCTCCTCTGACCCCAGGCGTGGGTGACAGAAGCAGACACTGGCCGCTAGCATCTCTCTGTTTATTCGCTCACAATAATACACAGCCCCTGGGCAGAGAGGGGTGGGAGGGGCTACAAGGTGGGGAGGCGGTAGGAGTGGGAGGAGAGGAAGCACCTGCTCCCCAGCCCCTCTCCCCTCTGTGCCTAGGCGGGGAAAGGGTGGGAGGGGGCTCTCCCCTTTACCACCAGAATGTAAACAGCAGCAGATGAACAAAAATAAAAATACAAAAGGCCGGAGGAAGGTCCCAGGCTTCCACCCTCCCCTGGGGTCTTCCCTGTCACCAGTGGAGGTCCCCTCGCTGCCCTACCCACCAAAGTGGCCTCAGTCCTAGGGGCTGCCAAGCGCCGGCCCCGTCCCTAGGGGCAGACTCCAGGGCTCAGAACTGCTGGGCCAGCAGCTCACAGAGGTGACGGGAAACAGGCTCCTTGCTGGTGCGCAGGGTCAGCCGGTACATCTAGGTGGGGGGCGTGGGGAGTAGACAGGATGGGTGGGCCAGTTAGAGAGCTCAGGGGCAGGGCGATGCAGGGACACAGACGAAAGATGAAAAGGGAATAGAGGGGAAAAGAAAGGAGGACAAAGGGTTTAAAACACAACGTAAGGGACGAGAAGAAAGAATAAAAGAATACAGGAGATAGAAAGGAGGTGAATGACAGGAGACAGACAAGAAACATGGAAAGAAGAGGAAGACCCAAGGTGGAGACAGAAGAGGGACAGCAGATGGAGAAAACTGGACATAGAGGGTGCGCAAGAAAAGGGTCAGAGGGCAAAGTGATGAAAAGGAAACTGAGGCAGGCGGGCTGGGTAGGCAGGCCACAGAGAATGCACACAAGACTAGGAGGATGATGCTGAGTTTCAGACTCCTTCCTGGACCTCAGGACACCACTCACCTGAGCCTGGGCATTGGGCTCCAGCCGGAGCAGGCAGCCCACCTGCAGGGCTTTCGTCTGGATGATGCCAGCCCCTACGAAGTTCTCAGGGTTGGGGTCCACATTGTCCAGGAGGGCCGAGCCAAAGCCTAGGAGCTGGAGAGGGGTGGGGAGCCATCGGAGTGACCAGATCTTGGATAAGCTCCCAAACATTGGCATACCAGTTCCCAAAAACCCTCAGGAGTGGAAATTGGCCCCATTTTACAGATGGGAAAACGTAGGCTCAGAGAAGTTAGCAGCCACTGCCCCCTACAAATCCCATAGTTTGGGAAAGGCAGGTCTGAGATGTCAGCCCCAGGCCACCTCTCACCTTGGCCTTGGTAACCTCCGCGTCCATGGGATGGTTGGCTTTGAAGATTTTCTGAGCTTCCTGCTGGGGACTGAGGGTGGGAAGGGTTCAAGCCAAGGTCCTGAAGCTCCGGGCCACGCCCACCCTAGGAGCCCAGTCCCGCCCACCCCGGAAGCGCCAGCGTTGGCCCCGCCCCCCGCTCTCACAGGCTCAGCTGTTTCCAGCGCTGGAAGAAGTCCTGGGCCGCCATCTCTGTCGGTTGGAAGAACTTGTTGATGGTCACCGGGAGCTTCAGGGTGAGAGACTGGGGGGCACCCCCGTACCTGGGGGGTATGCAGGGGAGAGGGCTCCATCAGGCCACGCCCCTCGCAAGGAATTCCTGCTCATCCGGAAGTGCCCCACCTCACTCACCGGAAGCGCACGGACAGCAGCGGGGGCGTCAGGAAGTCTCCCAGACACTCAATGTTGAGCACCTGCTGCACCTGCGCCCCGCCGTCCACCTGAGCCGCCACGCGCTTGGTCTGCACGGCCAGCTGTGCTCGCTGGGGGTTAAGGAAGCCAGAAACAGAGGGGCGGACCTCGAAAGGGTGCTGGCATCGGAACCCCTGATGGCTCCCTCGACTTTCCTCGCAGGCTTTGAGTAGCTGGGCCTAGGGCTTCATCTTCTGAGGCCCAAAGCCCCTCCTATGTGAAACCTCTGACCCTGCCCCGGATGCCTCTTCCGGCATTCCACAATGGTCTCAGCTCCCTCCATTGCTGCAAAAGTCACACTGTACTGGGATGGAATAGCATTGGCTCTAGAAGTTGCCTTGGGTGTGAATCCCAGCCTCTCTTAGCCTCGTCTGTAAAAGGGACACAGTAATACCATCAATACTGTTCTTGGGATTCAATGCCATAATAACCCATGTAAAAGTACTTGTCTGTGTGCTTGGCACATGGTAAGTATACAAAGGTGATATTACTGTGTTCATATCTGCCTTCCTCAACAACAGCAAGGACTGGGTCTTGCACATCTTTCCGCCGATGCCCAGCACAGAGCTGAACCTACAGGAGACCCCTGGAGATGTCAGATGAATGAAAGAGTAAACAGCTGAAAGGGTCCTCAAAGTTTCAGGGTCTAGCCCTTTGGTTTCATGGCTATGGACACAGAGGCCTGGAGAAGGGGGAGAAAGAAGTGACCCCCTTCAGGGTTTCCAACCACTCCGAGGAGGAGGAGTTGGATCCACACTTTATAGAGAGGACAGGAAGGCTCAGAGAAGTAAAGTGACTCAGCCCAGGTCACACAGGAGAAGGCACCAGTAGCAGCGAGATGCCAGGCCTGGCTCCCAAGTGCAGGAGACACTGGAATCATGGGCATGGAGCCTGACAGAGAAGGAAGAGGTCAGGAGGGAGCTGGGCTCCAGGCAGGACATGGAAGGTACCTGACAGCAGTAAACTGAGGCCCAGAGCAGCTGGGGCGCAGGAGGTAGCGCTTTCTGGACACCTATCACATAATTCCATTGTCACAGCCTGTCCTGACAACCCCACGGGATATGGGAGAGACTGACCCGCATCTCACAGAGGAAGACGCTAAATCTCAGAAGTAACCGTTAGCTCTCTGAGTAACATGGGCTGAACAGGGCTGGGTCAGTCAGCTTCTCAGTGTGAGGGAGGCCGACCCGGAGGTGAAGAGCTGGGGCCAGAGGGTGGGGCCAGGCCTGGAAGGATATGAGTCTGGAGATCTCCGGGGTGGACGACGGAGGGTGAGAAGTTCTGGAACTGCACCGAGGTCTTGTTGCCATAGAAGAGATACATGCGACCTGCGGAGGGTGGAGGGGCAGGGCTCAATCAGGTTTCCTTCGACCACCCTCCCCACCCACCCCCCACAGCTCCACAGCTCCTTGGACGCACCCAGGTTCTGCCGGAACTCGGACTTGACTCCGATCTGCAGCAGCTGGTTCTCAAACAGGACCCCATTGTTCTTGCACACGAACCTGGGTGGAGGCAGCAGGGGGCTCAGGACGACAGGGTACTCATCTGGGCCCTGGCTTGTGCCCCCTTCACTAGTCTCCACCCCTCCCATCTCTGCCAGGACTTACTTATTCAGCAGCTCATCAGCCTCAGGGATGGGGGGGCCGATGTCCTCAGGACCTGAGCTGGACACAGGGAAAGGAGCGAGATGGAAGGGACTTGGGGGGCTGGAGCCCAGAGAGACAGGGAGCCTGGAAGACCCTCCCTGGGGTGGGGGGTCCAACCCTTCCCCTGCCCAGCAGAAAAACCAGTTGCCATTGAAATCGACTCCGACTCATGGCGACCTCAGAATCTACACATCCAGATACTCCAGAGAACCTGAGAGAACCCCAAAATCAGACTGGCAATTGCCTCTAATGGCAATGGGACCCTAGCGGGAGCCACCTCCCCCCACCAGGGGACCTCAGGTTTCCTTCTTCTCCAAGTCCTTGACTCTGCGGCTCATCAGGAAACCCCCTGACAAAACCCTAGGCCCCTAACCCTCCCTGGGGGACACAAGAATCTGCCCCCACCCCCTGAGGCCACCCCTTACTCAGCAGCTGGGGCTGGGTCGGCCAGCAGAGCCAAGGGGCTCTCAGGGGCAGGCGGCTCCAGCTCGCTGGGCCGTCCAATCCCAGAGCAGACAAGAGAAGATAGGTGTGGCAGGCAGCCAATCCCAGAAAGGCAGCAAGAGGGTCAGAGAGAGAGGGAGAGAGAGAGAGGGAGACAGAGGCAGGAAGGTGGGAGGGAGAGAAGGAAGAGCAGGCTCAGAACTGTGACAAGACAGGACACCAAGGGGAGGCCAGACTCAGGAGAGGCCAAGGGGGCCAGGAGGGCGGCAGGGGAGGAGCAGCCAGGGCTGACAGAGGTTTCAAGGACATTAAGTTGAGAGATGGGGTGGGGCTCAGGGGAAAGGGGGCAGAGGCGGAAAAGGGGCAGCCCTGGCATCCCCCATGAGATGGGCCCGGTGGTACCTGAGAAAGGCCTCCTCAGGCGTGGGTCCCAGGCTGGGCGGGGCAGCTGGGCCATCTGAGAAGACATCCACCAGGAGGTTGCCTACGCCGGTGGGAGCAGGGGGTGCCACTGGGGGAGGGGCTGCCCGCAGCCCCAGAAGGTCGGCAGACGGCGAGGGCGTTGACTGCAGAGGTGCAGGGAGGTCAGAGGCCATGACACCCGGCCGGACTCAGCCGGACCAGCTGTGGGGTTCACCCCCAGGAAACTCACCACTGTGCTGGGGGTGGGCTCCATGCCCCCGTTGATGTCATTGCTACTGGGGTCCCTGCGGCCATCATCCAGGGCACTGCCCGCCCCTGGCCCCTTCTTGCGTTTCAGCTTGGCCAGGATGGAGGACTCGCGCTCGGGGAAGGGCGGCATCTCCTCCAGCACCGTGGCCTGTGGGTCAGCAGGGTCAGGGCAGGTGGAGGCCCAGGGCCGGGGGGCAGGGTCAGTTAGGACAGGTTCAGTGACAGGGCTCGAGGGATGGGCTCTGACCAAGACGTCGGTGCTGGCCACGGAGCTGAGGGTGAGGTACTCGACAGCACGCTGCTGCAGCTCCACATCGGCGTTGCGCAGCTGGGAGCCTGCCCGCAGCACGCCCTGGATGGTGGCCTTGGTCTCGGGGAAGAGGTTGATGAACTTGATGTAGGTGGACAGCAGCAGGGCCCGGGTGGCCACACTGCACAGGTGGAACTTGGAGTGCAGCAGGGAGAACTGCACCGGGGGGCTGCAGGGCACGGGAGGGCAGAGGTCAGAGGGCAGGGCGTCGGTCCCCAGAAACCCCCACGGGAGGGGCCGCCTCCCCACTGGGAATGGAGGTATTCCTTCCCAGGACCCCTGGGGGAGGATCTGAGCCCCTGCCCTGCCCAGCAGAAAAACCAGGGGTCATCACGTCGACTTCAACTCACGGCAACCCCGTGTGTGTCAGAGTAGAACTGGGCTCCGTAGGGTTTTCAGTGGCTGATTTTTCAGAAGTAGATTGCCAGGCTTTTCAAGATGTCTCTGGGTGGACTCGAGCCTCC